GGCAGAATTAGACAGGAAAAGTTATAGGTGAACGTCTACTCAAAAAATCCCTGGGGTACCTGTGAGGGTCCCAAAAAGGAGACAGTGATGAAGCATTTTTAGGTGTGACAGGTGCAGTTTTTAAATTTAGTTTTATTTAAATTACAAGTGAGGAGCCAAAGTTAAATGGAACGTTGCCGGCAGAGAGAGCTATAATGCTGGTGGGTGGCTACTGTTTCTTCCTGCCCAGCATCCACATTCTCTGCTTTGCTAAATGCATCACCATTTCCACTTTCCCCCAAATGTCTACAATACCAGGACCACTCAATCTCAACTCATTTTTGAAAACCTGATTTTTAAAAAATGTTTTAAGTATTAATATCCTCACCATACCTATTTGGAAACAATGTACATCATTATTACATACCATGATTATACGTTTGCTCAGATGTTTATTAATGGCTGTCCAAATCTGGCTTACAAATCTTTTTTGTAGGCCAAACAAGGGACTAAGAGTTTTAAACAAAAAACTGTTAGCCAGCCTCTCCACAGCTCCACTAGATAGGCAATATCCAGATGAATAACTGGAGGGTCAGGCAGGTTAAGTAGCTACACTGAATGAGAGAACCTAGATTCGAACTTACATCTGTTTTGACTCAGAAAGCGTATTTTTCCTATCATGTTCTGCTGTCCCAACAAGGCACAAATACATTTTCTTAGAATGATTACCTCCCAGTCAAATTTCAAGTCTGCTGGAGAGAAATGAGAATGAAGCTGAATGAACCATTTACTCCAAGGGCGTGTCAAGCTCAAGTCTCTGCTTATCCACCATCAATCTATCTGGTCTGAAGCTTTAGGTATAATTTAAAAACAGCCATTTAAATGCACCTAGGACCAGTATGTCAGGCCATCAGGCCAACTTGCCTTCATGTGTGTGCACAGTTTATCAACTGACAGGGAACACTTTGCTGTGGGAACAGAATGGAAGTGCTTTTGCACCTCTCAGAACAAATGACTAGGCTGAAGACAACTTTAAAAGGCAAGTAGTGAGCACAAAGACCTATTTATTTATTTATTTATTTTATTTTTTATTATTTTTCCTTCTTGTCTTTTTTCGTGACCGGCAACAGGATCGCAACCCTCGGTGTTGCGCCCGCACTGCGCTCAACCAGTGAGCGGACCGGTCTCTATATGGGATCCAAACCCTCGGCAGGAGCGCCGCCACGCTCCCAAACGCTGCACTCTACCGAGTGCGCCACCGGGCCGGCCCACAAAGACCTATTTAAAAAAATTTTTTTTTTCTTAAAATGATTATTCTAACTACTATTTTATTTTATAAAAAGATGTATTTCTAATTTTTTTTTTTTTGAGTCCTGGACCTCTTTTATAAAACTGTAGATCCACTTTCCCCCAAAATACACATACCAAAAGTTTTGGTCACAACTATAGAGGGTTCAGGAATCACTTGAGACCTATTTATGGACCCCTGGAGATCCATAAACCCCAGTACAACCCTTGGTCTAAAAGCTTATCATTTCACAGGCCCAAGACAAAGACCATACAACTAGCACTCTCATGATTCTTTAAATTTTTAGAAGGCAAATCTTAGATAAAAACGCTAACTTCCTTCACTAGTCTCTCATATTCTCAAAGAAACCAGGAATCTACTGACTTGAGTAAATCACTAAATCTGAGGTCATACAAATTCAAAGTACAAATCAGTTCTGTTATAGCTTAAAATCTACTACTTCCATTTCTGTGGTTTCTGCCAACAAAGATCTCCCTAAAAAAGAAAGAAATATTAATATGGCTTAGACCTTGAGTCCTCTCTACTTTAATTTTCATAAACAGGGTAACATATGAAAAGAAAACCACTTCTAAACTTTACTGAAAGATGTTCTGTACCTAGATATCATATGAAAAAAAGACAATTAAAAGAATTCATAAATGTCAACACATAAATCTGTGTCATTGCAATTGAGAGTTAAATTATATGGCTGACAAGGCAGATTTTAAAGAGTTCATAAAGTCTCAAATTATGTGCTTCCCATCACTAGAGTCAAGAACTTTCAGAAATGTTTATTTTCAGGTACACATCAAATTTTAAAATCTTTCCAATTCCTCTTGGTCTCATTACTTTAGAAAAAATTTAACACTATTCGCCAAAATTGTAAGTTACCAAATGAACTTATAAAAGTGTTTGGCCAGGATTCTATGAATAACTGATAGAATGTCTCATGAAAATTCAATAGTTACAGGTGGCAGTGACACTTTCCTATAAAAACATTAAAGATTATTTCTGACCACTAGATACTATTTGAAAGTCAATATTAGGACGATAAGATCAAGTAACAAGTAACTTCAAAAGAACACCATTTCACCATTGACGATTCTGTTTTAAACAATAACTATCCCCAACTAAATGCCACTTGGAATGAACAGTAATCAACTGCCACTTTCAATTTACAATCTGTAGTACTTAAGATTTAAAGCAATTCTTCTTTTGGTTAGAGTGTCCTCTCTCCTAAAATCAAGGAAGTGAACACGGTCTGGTGCCCATGTACAATCTTTAGGCCAATATCCTTTTAAAGTCAGGGAGGTTTCACACTCTAGAAGAGGGCAAGTTATAGCTCAGAAACTTCATGCAAGGTAATTTTTGCCTTTGTGCTGAAAGTCTAATTCTTGAGCACTAATTCCTGAAAGCAGTGTAATGGTGTTATGAAGTTAACGGCCTCATGTAATATGAATAAAATTTTACATATGCCATTTCCATTTAGAAGTTAAACACTTTTCATTGTCTTACATTTGCATTTATAACTTCCTCTTTGAAAGAATTGGGGAAAAACGGGGAGAAAGGACCGAATTTTAGTAAGGAAACTGAAACAACCATATTCATACTACACAACTGCTTCATCCCAAATATGAAGATGCAAGGAGTGCAGAAAAATTGAAAAGTAACGATATGGCCCAATAAAATAGCAAACCTGGGTTCGAAACTCAGACATGCTTCTGGTGCTAACCGTAGATGTCTATCCCACTGGAGGTAAAATCAGCTGTAGTAGTGCCAATTTCCTCACTCTTCTCCCACCACCTAAATGTTGCCATTTATGAGAAACGCATCGAAGTTGAATCAAAGTGACTTTTGGGAAGAGATGCCAACATAATCTGCAGTGTGCTCCGGAAATGTGTAATTCTACACACAAGGGCAACGTTTCTCATTGAGCACCCTCCCCCCTTCACTCTCAACTTCCCCTTAAGACAGGGACAGTAACATAGACATTTTTTGAAAATCAAAGAGAAAATTAAAGCACCCCATCATGATAACCGACGGGATTCTGGCTCCGTGGGGGAGTTGCGTTCCCGCTGACGAACCCGGGCACAACGCTCCTCGTCGCTCCGCGAACTCCTCCCGGAGGTCGCCAAGTTTCTCCTGCACCCGCCTGAACCTAGGAAGGAGGGGGGCGACCGCAGGGGCCGGGACCGCGCGACCTGGAACCCCGGGCCTTTTCGGATTGCCGGCCGCGCCCGCGCAAGTGCCCGCGTTCGAGACCCGCCCCGGCGCGCGTGGGTGCCAACTTCACAGGGACCCCGCGCAGCGCCCCCTCGGTGCCCCCAGGCCCCCGCCCCC